AGAGCGGGGAAAAGAGGGGGGGATTTTAGAGATGGAGGCGAACCAGAGAAGAGCGGGGAAAAGAGGGGGGGATTTTAGAGATGGAGGCGAACCAGAGAAGCACAGACAGATGGAGAAGAGGTGGACTTTCTCAGGTCCCCGGCTGACATATTTCTGAAGGCACAATCTTGTGGCCTCCCCCACCCTCTAGAGTAGTCAAAGATCCACAAATTCACCTCCGGGCCCCTGCACAGAGAGACACACACAAAGGCACCTCTCTCAGCTTCCTACACTTCCTTCTTGCTTCCCAAAACTCTAGGATTTGCTTTGCAGGATCAGACCCCCATCCGGCCCGACCTGCCTTCTCTTTGTGAGAAGAATCCACCTGAAGACTCCCCCAGAAGGACCTGCTGGGTCCATTCGAACTCTCTAGAAGGGCTTTTCGACGGGGCAGCCTGGAAGTCGCTGCCCCTGCTGGAGACTCTTCTGGAAATACCTTGGGGAATTCAAAGGGATCCCTAAATCCTCCTTTTGGCTCCTGGTTGAAGGTCCCCTCTGTCCTCTGGGAAGCTCACAAGGAGGAGACCCCAGCAAGAGAATTGAAAAAATAATAATCATCTATCTGCTTAAAAGAACTGCAACCATTTCTGAACATGAACCATAGAGTGATTTTAGAAGATCAACCCCCTTACTTGAAAGCCTGGGTAGGGGGGGACCTGGTGGGTGGCCCCAAATGGGATGATGGACGAGAATCCACAGGGAGGGACCCCCCCCTTGGCTCTCTGCCGCCTGGGTCTTTGGGGGGGGGAAGAGGGAGGCACCCCTTACTGGATACTGAGACTGACTTATTTATCTTTCTATTTATTGTTTTAGATTTATATCCCGCCTTGCCTTGCCTGCTATGCGGCTCAAGGCGGCATACATACACTAAAATACAGTAACATACAAATACAATAAAATACAGTAAAATATAAAATTTAAACCTACAATACATACAGTGCAAATTGGTGCCGATTGCATTTGCTGAAGTGGGCCGATATAGGCAGGCCGGTGTCTAGTTGTCTTAATGGCTATAACATAGGATAGGGCCTTGCTGGTACCATTTCCAACGCTCATTCCTCAGTGGTGGACCCTAA